TATATATATATATATACATATAACACACAACTATATCTCTGTGTGTGTGTGTGTGTGTGTGTGTGTGTGTGTGTATATATATATATATATATAACACTTATAGTGTTTTCTTCAAAGACTGTCAAAACACTTTGCTGTTGCAATATTTCTGGTTAATATATAAATAATATCGGTTCAGTGGAGTCATAGGACTTTTATTTTGAAGTGTCTGAAGTAGCAGGTTGATCGTTCTCATCCTTGTTCTCTACCCTGCCTACAGATCAAGCTTACTGATGTAGGACAAGGACAGGTGACTTTTATTTTGAAGTGTGTGCCGCAGGCAGCAGCAGCAGGTTGATCAGTCTCAGCCCTGCCTCTCACAGGCTCGCTGACCGATCTGGAGCTTATTAAGGTAATAATAACTTCATCAAATATGAACGTGTGCTAGACAGTTAGAGTAGCACTAATAAAAGCCAAATCAAGCATGCACGTGGATGTCACGCGTTACTTTTGATGCATGAGTTTTATTGCATATTTATATTGATGATCCGTTATCAGACACCCAGGCCATCAATAGACTATCAGCTAATTAAATCATCTTTTCTAAAACACTGCATTCAGCTCTTAGGACTGTTTAAGAAGCAGCCTTGATTGTGCTGTGCATGTGAAGAGTCGGTGAAATGGAGGTCAGGCGATAAGCCGTCGATACTGTCCAGCGCTGAGATTTAACACTACAGTAATCCTCAGCGCTCCTGTCAGTGCTGCTACACAAACCCGCACGACACGCTCATTCATGCGTCCTCGTGGACACATTTCAGTTGATCCAGATTTGTAGCTCTTTAAATATTAAGCAATTATCAAACAAAAGTTTTTAAATGCGCAGTATTCACTATAGCAGAAACCAATGAAAATGACCCTTGATCACAAGTGTGCATTATCAGACTCGACCTGTTTTTTCCCCAATAAAATCCTTTGTTTTTAATGCTCAAAATCAATTCTGTCTGTGCTCCTGCAACGGTTTGTTCTGTATTGTGTTGGAACATTTAAATGAAATTAATATTTGGACTATTTATATTTACTATTTGGAGTATTTAAATATTTAAATTCCAAATTACAATTAATAGAATATTTAAATTATTGAACATAATCTGTTCCAAATGATCTTTTTTGTTGTTGTTGTTGACTAGGTATCTAAGCCTATGTATGTCATATTTTATGAGTCCTTTTTCCATACTGCTATTCTTTCCATTGCGCGTAGGTATGTTATTGAATTTGAATGTGATCCACTGCATTGATCCTTATGTATTGATTTGATATAGGATGGCTGAACCGCCTCGGTCATGTGACTGTTTTGTATCTCTGCCTCCGGGTTCAAAAGAAGATTATGTGATATTTGGTAAGAACTCTGACCGGCCAAGGGATGAGGTGCAGGAGGTGGTGTATTTCCCTGCATCCTCACGCGCTCCTGGATCTACAGTGGAGGTGAACTGACTTTTTCATTACATTTCATTAAAGTGCATAATATTTGCATTTAAAATACCTGCTTTCTATTTAAAATATATTTCAATATATGTTTCAAATTTTCTCCCCTTTTTCCTCCAAATATGTGGTTGTCGAACAAAAATCTGGAGTTGTGGCCAAACCATAGATGATTTACAGGTGATTCTCTTTTCCTTGTAGTGCACATACATTTCCATTCCTCAAGCAGAGCACACTCATGCGGTTGTGCTGAGCAGACCCGCTTGGCTCTGGGGGGCTGAGATGGGGGCTAATGAACACGGGGTGTGTATTGGGAATGAGGCAGTCTGGACCAAGGAGCCTGTGGATCCAGAAGAAGCTCTGCTGGGAATGGACCTGGTTCGGTGAGCTCAAAACAAGCAAACGTCTTTATCTTCCTGTTTTCTAGTCTTAATATTAACCAGATGATGTATATTGTGTGTGTTGAGGCTGGGTCTGGAGCGCGGGGACAGCGCATGGGCCGCTCTGAATGTGATCACAGGTCTGCTGGAGCAGCACGGTCAGGGCGGAGCCTGCAGGGAGACCGCCGAACCCTTTAGTTACCACAACACCTTCTTACTAGTGGACCGACAGGAAGCCTGGGTCCTAGAGACTGCTGGGAAACTGTGGGCTGCACAGAAAGTCACAGGTGAGGAAAGATGATTCATGGTCAGTGGTGAATGCGTTTTCACAGGTTAAGTGTGTGTGTGTGTTTCTCTCACGATCTGTCTGAAAAGATCCAAAATGAAGGACATTTATGTTTTATCCTGGTAAACAAAAGTTAATATTACAACAAAAGTTAATAAGTGAATATGGTAAATGATAAATTTGGTCTCTTAAAGAAGACACTTGATAGATTATTGCTAAAGTGGAAAAAAAAAAAAGTAAAAATAATAGAAGTTTAAGTTTATTATTGTGGAAAATGCCCCCCAAAAAACACTATTTTAAAATGTTATATAAAATATATTTTCCAAAACATGTTTTACTCTTACCATGAACAGTACAGTACACCATTTCTTTCAGGAGCATTTAACCGTTTGGATTTTTTTTTTTTTTTTTGGGTGTGTTCAC